ATAATCATGATTCATTCGATTTGTAACTACTCATATTTTGTAGAAAATTTAATTACAAACTTTTTTTCCTCTTCCATTTTCGCCTAAAATCAACTCTTGAAAAGATACATAATTAAATAGGAAGAAAAATAAGACATTTTTCGAATTTTTTTAACATATTGTGCCGCCAAAAGTTAAGCCCACGTTTTTTTATACGCATAGAAAATTTCATTTCTAGTGATATTTGAAAACTAAAAAGCAAAAAATCTCCGTGAATATACGATTCATCCAAATATAGACTTTTTGAAACAGACACCGTCTAAATTAATAGTGTTTGTTTATTATTATAGAAGAAAATACTCGTCAGATACGCTTTGATCCTCAAAAGATTTTATTAAATAAAAAACGATCAAGGTTGTTGATACAACTCTCACTTCATTAATTCCGGCAAATTGCAAATTCGCATCGCACCTTCCCGCAAACGCATGCTTAATTTGCTCAGACATAATTAATAACCTGTACGAAAAACGCAGCGTCACGTCAAGCATATTTACCTTAAGGTTTTCCGCTTCTTTTGCTATATTCAACAAGTCTCTTGTCGCCCTAACATTCACATTAGTGGCTTCTCTTAAGGTCGCATCCAACTTGGTATTTGCTGCGCAGTGGAAAATAAATTCGACTTCCTTGATCAACGAGGCCTTGTCCAGCTCGCTTAGACCCAAATCTGGTTTTTCGCAGTCTCCCGCGATTAGGGATACCTTCTTGAAGAACTCCGGGTCAATTCTTCGCAAGGGATCGAAGGCCTGGGGAAGAAATACTTGTTAGGAAGTAACCTGTCTTTGTTTTCGTAAAAATGCAGTTTAAAATTTAACCAAACTGTTTCCAGTTTTAGTTCATTTCTGGATGTCGAACTTAAAATTTGTTGAAAATTTTAGAAACGGTTTGAGCATTTCTGCAAACTTGAACGTAAATTTTTGCCTTGCACTTACTGTCCCATCGAAGATATTCGCGCATCTAGTTTCAGCGTCGACTCCATCTTTTTCCCTGATGAGTAGATAGACGTGTTTCACATGGCACTGCCTCAAAAGTTTCTCCAATACAAGTTTCCCCACGAATCCGGTAGCCCCGGTTAGGAAAACCGTGGAATTTTTGTAAAAATGCTGAATTTCACTGAACTGAACGCTGCCTTCCATCGTCGCTCATACTCTAGTTATTCTTTTAATGAATACTCATAATGTGTTTTACTTTATGGTAAAATCTATTATATGCATAAAAACGTTAATTTTATGGAAATATACTGTGTCATACAAAAGGTAGCCAACGGTCAAGTTAAGTATTTATTTCTTACTTTTTTATGATAATGTGAGATAATTAAGATTATGCCATCCTGTAATATTGCCTTTGTATGTAGATGTAGAATTAAATACGTACGAAACGACCTTGTTGACGATTTGAAAGTATTCAATTTTGGAATTAATTTGTAATTCATTGGGAAACAAGGATTTTTTAGTAATATAGATTGCACAGTTTGGATAAAAATGCCATTGGTATTCATTATCTGCAGAGATTAACACCTGTGACGATTAGAAAATTAATTTTATGACTCTTGAACTCCTTAACTGACTATTAATTGTAAAGAAATTGATGCAGGATTATTATCCTCTCTTTTGAGATGGGGTGTTTTAGTTATTGTCATTTGTTTTACACATTTCCTGGTACATGGATTGGTACCAACTCTCAAGTCAAAAGAATTTCCGAAATTTTTAGATCCACTTCTTATTTGTGGAAGGGCGAAATGGGCGTTGACTATTAGACGCCTTCATTATAGCCATCCTTGTCTATCACATGGATTTATATGGCTTACTTTATCGCTCTCACATAACTTCTGATAGACCATCGGTACTTTCCTACACTGTAGGTGAAAAATGGTATCGGGAATTAAAAAAAGCATTTTGAAGCCCTAAGATTCTAGTTTTTAGATCTTTCGGTCGAAATTTTTTAACGGTTATAATGCAATTCTAAGAAATAGCGCAACAAAAATTTTGTAAATTTTCTTTTTTTTTTCCACGGACTTGGGGAAAAATTTTCTTCAGCTTGTAGTATAACAACCCTAGGTTCGATAAAAAAATAATACAAACGTAGTTGTGGCCAAACATATGTGATCGGCATAAGGAATACCTACGTTGTGTACATATATTTTTTTATTGACCGGAAGGCGCTGGCTACTAACTTTGTAGAGGGGAAGTATGGTTTAATTTTTATAAAACAAAAGCAGAGTAAATACACCTAACCTTTATTTACATACAATTGAAATTAAACATGTGACAAATAGAAAGAACAACAAAAACATTAACAACCATTAAACA